GGGGAAGGGGAAAAAAATAAGAACCAAGATACTCATGAAATGGTACAAGATCCCAATGATGAATGTAACTGTATTTTATACTGAAAATGTACCAATAAACTTAATGAGAAAAAAAAAAAAGACAGCCAACCCAACTCAACATAAATGGGCAAAGGGATAAGTGCAGACAATTCCCAGGAAAGGAAAAGCAAATGATCTTGAATGAAGGCACTCAAGCTTACCCATAATTAATCAAAATACAGTGAATACAGTCTATGCTGATACTACAGTTTCAATGATTGTAGCAAAAATTATCTCTACTTACCATCAACTATGATTATTTAAATTAGGATTTAAAAAAATTTAGCCATTCTCCTATGGGCAGGTGACATAAGTATTGGTAAGATTTTAACATGTGATGAGAATCATGTATCAGTAAGGAAAGAACAGCTCATATGATCAGTGGAGTTTGGGCCACTGGCTACCCATTTTGGGAAAGCAAGCATAGAATCCCACCTTTCTGAGACCACCTCCCAGGTTAATGGCGAGGTAGGGTGCAGTCTGCTTTTTAAAAACAGCCTTCAACTGCCATGTACACTCGATACATACCCACACCACTCCTCCTTCCTCCCCTCTGGGAACAAAATGTTGATCTGGACGGAGTGAGATTATAGGGGGTTATTTTTTTCTTGACATATTTTTGTATTTTCACATTGTCTATTAACTTTTGTGTGTGTGTGCTATGGAACAGAACCCAGGACCTTGAGCATGCTACTGAGCTACATCCCCAGCCCTCCACTTAAGTTTTAATAATTTATTTTTGCTCTGCTTATTTCCCATAGGATGCAATACACACTGTTTGTTAAAAATTTTGGGGAGCAGAGAAAAGTACAGAGAAGAAAATAAATGTCATAGATGGCCACACCAAAAAATAGCAGGGTGCTACATCTCTTCACCAAGACCTGCTTTCAGTAGGCTCTGAATAGTGTAGTGTGGTTTGCAGCCCTCTTCTGGGAGGGGCACAATAGCTTGTGCTCTGTATCTCATCAGAGGCCAGGCTGTATACACCATTAGAGCCGGACATGCTGGGGGCCGCCAGAAATGTGGCTGTTGGGATCAAAGCAGCTCTGCAGGCTGCAGGTGCTGAGCAGGTGTTGAGAGCAGAGCAGAGAAGGTGTCTGTGCAGCAGCCAGGAGAAACCCTGACAGCATGGGAGCTAAAAAAGACACTCTCCTATCCGTCTCTCAAAGTTTGAATTATTAGTAATGACCCTTTCGGCATCTGTGACACTTATGTGTACTGTGGTTGCTTTTCCTCTTTGAAAATTAAATGGTTTTTCCTAGCTTTCCATGAAACTTGAAAAGTAGGTTGAGATTTTTATTTTCCTTATTTTCGTGTGTACTTTCCAATAACGCCAGTAGCTGAGGACTTGAAATATATGTATAAATACAAAATATATAACATTATATGTAATACAAGATAAATATTATAACCTTATTCCTCGAAAATAGAATGTGCAAAAATTTAAAAACTAGATGGATGGATATTCCTCAAAATTAACGTTGACTGTCTTTGAGGGGTGAGACAATACATATTTACAAGCTTTTCTGTATTTCCTACATCTCCCATAATAAGCATAGGTCACTGTTATAATGGGAAGAAGTCAAATGCATGTTTCTAGGATCAGGGAGAAGAGAGTTACCCCAGGACGAGACTGGCAGGTGGGCAAGCGGCTGCTCTGCCCCGTGCACCCTGGGGAAGGCCAGGACAGCACAGTCCCTTCTCCTGTAGCTCTCGGGCTCTTACCTCTCATTTCCAGAGAACACTGCAGCATATTCTTCCTTAACCTCCTTTAAGCTGTGGGCGTTCCCATCATCCAGATTGAAGGATGCTATCAGAGTTGAAGACAAGAGTCACAAAGGGAAAGCCAGGCCCTTGTTGCATCTCCCATGGGGGAGCCCTGAACCCCTCCCTTCCCCTCGGGCTCAGTTTTAGGGAGTCCAGAATTCATTTTTCACCTCTCCTTCTGAATGTGAGGGAAGAGCTCAGAACAAGCAATGATTCACTTTTTCTCTGGCCTCTTAAGATGGCGTTGGGTCCCC